TCCTTCCTTATTGGCAAGTGTAGCCCAAATGKAAATATAAATGCGCAACGTATTCCGCGCACAATCCCCACAATTGTTTTCAGGATTCTCTGTCATGGGCCTGAAGTACGTCTTTACAGCTTTTCTCATTCACACGCGTGAAATCGTACAATTTGCTATCGTGTCGAAGTAGGTATTGGTGGACGTCAATCAATGCGTTTCCATGACATTCCATAGACACGTGTCCTTGATAAGCTTTGTGTTTTCCGACAACGGTGGAAAACACTTTGATTGGCGTTCACCAAAACTCTATTATGTCTCGAATATTTTCGTATTCATTCATATATTTGCATTTCTCATTTTGCATTTTTTTAATAGATGGTCATTTGGTGTCTTGCTTTGGGAAATAGAAACTGGAGGTTGGTATACGATACGTTTTTTTTCTTCAAAATATCGATGATTTAGATGAGCGAAGTATCCAAATTTTGTTTCAGGTAAAATGCCCTTTGCCGGGCTTGTGTTCAAYGACATTCTTAAGGCTCTAAAGTCTGGTGTAAGGCTACCACAACCAGCATACTGCAGCGACGAAGTGTAAGTATCAGAACTTCACGGCATGGCACGGCACGGCACGGTTTTGTGCTTGTGTTTGTACTTTCTTTTATAGGGGCGTAGGCAAAAACGAGATTTGCGATCTGGACCACAGGAAGTCCTTACAATAGTTTTATTATTTATCTCTCCATTTTTACACTAAAGGGGAGTCACGAGACCTTAGATCTGCCCCCTCGTGACGCCCTTGTTCCATCAAATTTGCAGCGGTCTAATTTAGTATTTTAAGATCACTCTAGCCTGAAGCCGGATTATGGAGATTGCGCCCCCCAAATACGAAAAGAGCTCTAGCGTTTTTAAACACTACTGTTAGCTGCAGCTGTTGTGGATGTTGCATTTGGTTCGCTWTACTCGCACAGAACAGTGTTAGTGTGAGATGCCACATAAAACCAAACATCGATTTCTTCACCTTGAAAYAATCTCTCAGAAATAGCTCTCAGAACCCCGAAACAACCTGTMGGCTGATCAAAGTTCAAAGTTCGAAGTCGAAAACTTTTTTCACAGGTATTCCATAATGAGAACATGTTGGGAAGCAGACCCCAGAAAGCGGCCAACGTTCGGAGATTTATCTTGGAAACTGGATAATCTCTTCATTCATTATYTAGAGGACTAGATGACTGCGCATGTGCATGCGCATGACCAATGTTGTACSGGGACCTCGGTGCTGACCACAAAGAACGCAGGAAGTAGAGATTAGAACTACGGTTTGAGCTTGTACGCATGCGCTAAGACTATGCTATTCATAATATGGTCATCTTGCTAATTAAAAAGTACTAGTTATGGGAAAAACGTAAAGGTACGGTACATGCACATGAGCATGTATCATAGTGCACCTAACCCCTGATACAATACTTTCAGTATTGATTCTACATAAAGTAAATAGTTGAATGGTGAAATATTTCTTCATTTGAATGTTGCGTATTTAAGTTATTAAGGTTTATACTTGCAATATGTTACTGACTGTGACGTCACCCCAGGCTTCATTAAATATACAAATTTTGACTGGTTCATACAAAGAGTTTTTAAAAAGAATCGATCATTATTATACTCAAGGTTTCCACAATGTTTATCGTAAGTCTGATATCTCATAATGGCTATTGTTTGGCATTGAAAATTAAAAGAAATACACGCAAAAGCCTGGGGTGACGTCACAGTCATTAAAATATTGCAAGTATAAACCTTCATAACTTAAAGACACAACATTCAAATGAAGAAATATTTCTTCGTTCAACTATTCACTTTATGTAGAATCAACACTGAAAGTATTGTATCAGGGGCTAGGTGCACTTTAAATATGATATAGTTCCTATACAAGGAAAATTTTGAGGCTGATAAAATGAACGGAGCATGCGCGTAGACATCAGCCGAACTAAAGGTAATAACCATTGTTGAAAATTCTTTYTACTTTTTTATAAAAAGAAAATAATTTCAGAGGAAATGATAAGATGTATAAGTTAATGGTAAGTTTATAAATTGTGGACTATAATCAATAAACTAATGAACATTCCTCTAAATATCCTTTTCAAATCTCTTGCGGCGACAGAACTAGAAATGAAGTATTTCAAAAAAATAAAGCGAAACGACAAAAAAAAAAAAAAAAAAAAAAAAAAAGAAAGAAAGAAAAGAAGAAAAAAAACACACAGAACAACAGCAACAAAAAAGAAAAGGAAAGAAAGTATGGGAAGCGATTACTACCTAGCATAAAAAGTGTAAAGATCAATTTTTACTGCCTTTACCGTCTCCATAGTTTTTTTCCCACTGCAGTCCAAGTTTTTCATTTCACCGGAGTTTTTATGCAGGATTCAAAGGGGGAGTGAATCATAGATTTATGGATGCGTCATTCCAGACTGTAAAGTACAGGTATAGCGTCACAGTAAACAAATGATTTGCACGTGACGTTATAGTCCAAGAAAATAACAACTTAAAATTAATTATGAATG